TGGGAGTGACCGAAGGAGCGGGATAGGAGGTGGCTGCTCGGGGGTGCTGCAGCAGGACCACTGCTGCATTGGGGAGCAGGGGAGCCCCGCTGCATTTTGCAGCCGTGCGGCGAGGGCAGCACTCGCTGGCAGAGCAGCAGCCCCCATATCCCTCCTTCCTCTCACCTCCCTAATGTGGAGCAGACCTGGGCTCCTCACCTGGGTTTCAGCACCCATCAATATGGAAAACAGCCTCCCATTCAGCGCCATTTGCAGCCCCCAAGACTATACAATAATTGAGAAAAGGGAACCATGCAGTGCATGTGCCTGGCTCCCTGCAGAACCCAGCTCTGCCACCCCCCTGCACCCTCCTGCCTCCCCCTGCTCCAGGCATTACCTTGCCGTATTCCAGGGCGTAGGAGACGGACTCTGTTGGCCCGGGAAGCTTCCCCTTCTTGCGTATGAGCACGAAGCCGATGCCCAGCCTCTGTGCCAGCGGCGGCCCGCAGAGGGAGACCAGCGCGCCGCGACACGTTGTGGATCACAGAGCCACTGCAGGACACTCACGGCATTCCCGTTCTACCCACCGGCATCCAGGGGGCTGAAGCAATCGGCTCTTGCAATCGCTACAAGCCCCCAGCACAGGGCTCGGACCTCCCTGGACATTCTGCCTCCCTTCCCACTAGCTCTTTGCAGAGCCATGTTCAGGTTGGGCGCAGGATTGTCGGACTCTGCCCCCATGGGTGCACCGGGCTCAGTCTGTGCTCACTGCACGTTGTGCTATCGTCAAGCCCAAGTGATTTATTCTCCCTGTGCTGCAACCTTCGTGGGGTTGGAAAAAGCCTTCCGAGAAGGAAAACCCGCAGGGACAGGGGCTGCTGCGCTGGAGCTCACAGAGCCCCTCTGCGCTGAGCGGGTCCCGCTGAGGAGCCCTCCGGCCCGGGGCTCGGGATGCTGCTCCGCACTCACCCGCGATGAAGTCGATGCGGGGGAAGGAGGCCCTCAGATGAGCCTCCAGGAGGTCGAGCAGAGCCCCGAAAGCTGCCGGGTCCTTCAGCAAGGGGCTGATGTCGCTGGAACGGGGGGACGGGGATCAGCTGTCGCCCTGGCTCCCACCCCAGGGAGCTCCCAAACCCACAGTCAGTCCCTGCCTTTGCCC